ATCCAGACTTATCAAAGAGAAGGCAAAAGAAGAGGGCTAGAAAAGAGAAGAAACAAGGTGGGGAAGAAAAAGGACACATGGGGGAAGGGAGGACAGCAGGAACCAAAGTCTCACATTCCAGGTGGCGTCTGGGATTTAGCCAGAGCCAGTCAAGTGGCAGTATCATCAGTATCCCTCCCTCTGGCTCAATCTGGTCAGGACAACAAAGACCTGGGGGTCCCAGGAGATGGTGGTGATCGTAGTCATTATGGTGAAGTTTGCTCCTTCCTTTCCTCCCAGTCCACCAACTTGATTCTTCCCCTGAAATCCTTTTATTAACAACCCTGAAAGGAGTGATGGAAGGAATACCCATCTCTTCATTATTTTGTCTACTAGCTAGGTCCAATTTATGACACACCTACATGGTTTCCAGGCCAACACTCCTCTTGTTTACCTGATTTGATCTCACTCCAGTCCTTGGGTGGCATCAAGAGGCTTTTTGGTTTGGATTAAGTCAGTCTTCGTCCTTGACTTTTGCTGACTTGTAGAAGCAGTTCTGTGTTACAGGGACAGCTAGACTCTTGTTATCTTGAATAACTTATAGCACAAGCCTCTGCACAACAGCCTGCAAGCTGCACCAGTTTTGGCTTCCCCGTACTCAGAAGGTCAAACACAGAGGTGATGTGTAAAGGAGTTAGGTGTATGTTAGATGCTAGTAAATGGGTGCGTCTCTCTTAAATTATTCTAAATGGCCCCTAGACTAAGTGTAAGTTAGGCTAATGTATATATTGATTGTGGGGAACACAGAGATGGTGTAAGTTACACCAGCTTAGACTGTGTTCACCTCTGAATTTATCCCTGCATATGCATAAGCAGTATTTGAATAGTCTTCCAAGCGCAACTACTTCTGAAGCACAATTGAGCTCTTTACCACTGGGGGTAACTGTCTGACTGCCCCCCAAAACAAGATGGGAAACTTTAATGACCCTGAAGATCAGGTCTGCAATTTTACATTCCATTAGACAACAAGCATGCATAATTGGATGCTCCTACGCATGGTAAGCTGCAGTTTACACAATACGGAAGTGATTGCAGATTTGGCCACAACAGTGAATATTGTTGTCAGTCACTCAGTACTGGGCTAGCAACAGGGCTACCACATGAGTCTCACTCACTGTATAGTCTTCAGTTTCAGTGCAGGGCAAGAGATTTTCAATACTGCTCTCTCTTCTCATTATCAGGCTAATCTTGAAGAAAGAGACTTGACTCATCCTAATGAGATATGCTACGCCACCATCAATCATGGCCTTAAGGAAACCCCCCCCATGATAAACAGCAACCATGAAACTGAATATGCCTTAATCTGCATGCCTGCCAAGAAAGTGACTTTTACCAGTCACCAGGACAATGAATATGATTATGTCCTGATAAGTTAGGAAATCTGCTCCTCTCTTTACTGCATCAAAGGAGCCTGCATATTCTAAGCAACTAGGATCCGTCTTCCAAACCATTTTCCCAGTAACATCAACAGTTACAATAAACCCAGGGGCATCCCTTTAACATACACAGCCTACACTTTGGGGTAGTCCTGCCATTCACTGTTCAAGTGACACTTTACCATAAAAGATTTAACACAATGAAATTTACACAACATGATGTTGGGACTAGTTGGGTAACAAAGCAACACGAATCAACAATATCTGCCCATTGCAAGATGGTATAGTAATTTAGGAGCTTCATTATTAGAAGCTGCTAAGGCTTTCAGTCCTCTTTGCAGAGTTTTAAATAATTGCACAATTTATTTTAGAAGGGGACTAGTGAACATTTCCAGTGACCCAACTGTTGGTGAAAATTTCAGTGACTCTGGTAAAACCTCACCAGAATGCTTGTTTACTTAAATTATAAAACAAAGACCTAGAGTGCCCTTGCACTGGCTGATCTTGCTGTAGGATGGTGTGGGTACAGAGCTGTGGTGGTTAATTTGACCATCTGTACAGTGGTTTTACAACCTGTGACCCAGATCTCAGAGAAGTCTTAATGAAGTTGCATTTGAATGAAGAAATAAAATTACACTGCTGAGGATTCGTGTGCAAATAATGCTATCGCTAGTCATACTCACTGCCACCACCTAAAAGAAGATGAAGTCTTACCATGGAACCTAATGCTGCCTTCAAATGCACATGTGCTATCCCTGTCATTTCCAATAGGAGCTCTGCTGGGACACAGCTCTTGCAATTCACTGCACTCCTGGCTTGCAGCACCATATTGCAGATTTGCATATTGCAGCACAGCCTACAGATGGAGTCATAACTTCTGCCCGCAGTTTTGAAAATGTAACTAGTCCTGGCCAGCAGAAGCCCTACCTCCCTACTGTTCCAGTCCTGGGATTTTTCCAGAGACACACAAATATGACATTTTTGAGATGGATAAAGGTTTACAGTCAACTAGATGAGACAGCTGAACTCATTTTGTCTTGCAATTTCAGCGAGACTGAAAACCAAGTATTAAACAGATTAGAAGAGTTAATGCTGTGACACTAAGCCCCCTGTATCCTTGCCTGGACATTTGAATGCCTTCAAATTCTGTATTAGAACACATCTGGAAAAACACATATTGTGTCTTTTTTCTGGTTTTGAACTTCCCATGTACATAACTGCTGACAATACCTCTAGCATTTCTGTGCCTAACTCCTCCCTCGTTTGCAGCTCATTCATCTTAATATTGTCACATCTCCGTGCTACTTCTTTGAAAGACAGCTAGGACTCATGAGTCATGGAAACTCAGCCAGCATGGCACAGACATTGCTAAGGCAAGGCAGTCTTATCTGCATCTGGAGTTTCTGCACACCAGCAGAGAGGAGAGCTGCATTTAGAGCACCGTAGCTACCATTGGTTGTTGTACAGAGGACAATAGACAGAGTTATCAGGACTAAATTTTCTCGTCCCCTTTCATTTTGGTTCCAGGATCTTGGACATTACATTCAAATTAGTAAAGCATTTTAAAAAAGATACTAGCCAAATTATTGTATATTTTCATGTTGGATAACATTAAAACCCATTCATCTGCCATGTTATTGTCTTGTATGGTTTAAACTTAAACTCAAAGAAAAAGGTAAAGATCATTTTAAAAAAAAATCTGTTACTCATGTAAATGAAGTGCACAGTTGGAGGATCTATTTTATAATGGAGGCCTGACTGTGTGAAGACTGCTGACAGCCCCTTTTGTGCACAGCCCTTCAGGTTTACTGTATATAAGCCTTACTCCATGTTAGGATCCTGGTGCATTTCCCCCACAGCACTCTTACTGGCCCAACTCCCCCTCTCTGTACTACAACAGTTGGGAGCTACTCCTTTCTCCAAGTATGGCAAAGCTGGCTGGGATAAGGGGAGGACTGGAGAGTGGTGAGTCTCCCATTAATTCTCACTCCAACACCGCTCTCGCTCCTCTCACCGAACCCAGGTGGAAAACAGGCAAAGAAAGATTATCAATTGTGCTGCTTCCCTGCAGGGCCCAAGGGCAGGTACAGTCACCGCAGACAATGCATCACAGGACCAAGCAGCAGTGCAAAGGCAAGGGGACTGGGCATGACTCCCATTGCTCTGGAAGATCTTCATGGCCCGTTGCTTTGCAGGAAAGACTACCTGTCACTTCTGTGAGGGTGGGAGTGAACTTTATCTTCCTCAGGCTAAGAATCAGGAAGACAATATACCACCTATGTGCAGAATATGGCTCTAAAAGCACCTATATCACATTGGTGCATTAACATCAGCCACATTAAAAATGAGAACTGACACCTAGTAAGGAAACATGAAGCCCCGGCCACGTTGTACCTACCAATGTGGTGCTGGTGGCAATAGCTGTGTGACAAATGGGAGAATCAGGTGATTCGCTCATTTATCCTGCACCACTGACCAGACTTCCTCATCGAAATTGACCTAGCCCAAGTTCTGAGTCATTGCTGGTTACACAAGTTTTGCACGGCTCTATCTTTATCGTCATCTTTCAGCTCAAAGTCACCAGTCAAGGCCTAGAACTGATACAACAACAATTCAAACAAATGTTAAATAATATCGCAACAAATAATTTAATATATGAGCTACAGTTTTGTCATTTTCTAAAAATAGATTACAATTCTTTTTAAAAGGTGATTTCCCATATACTTGTCTCTTACTGTAATGCCATAAAGTTTCCTAAGATAAATCTTACAGTAAAAATGTATTAAAATTCACATTTCAGTATAAACCTTCACTTCAAAATTCAGAATTCACTGCAGGAAGTTGCACTTCCATAGTATAATGTTGAAGTTCTCTCTTCAGCCCACATGAGTCACAAAAGTCATAGTTCAGTTTCTCCTTAATTTTTCTGCCATGTGCAAATGCAGTATTACTGTCATTACATGATCACATGTTGACTTTCTGATGTGACATGTTTAGAAACAAAGGATTTGCCTGATATTACCACTGACCAATCTAGTCCAGTGTTTTGCCTAGAACTGTGACTAGTATTTGATCATACAAAAGGCCGAAAAACCCCATCTCCGGTCATATATCGTATCTGTATATGGAGTGTTGGTGAGTATTTCCTGACCCCTGCAGACAATCAGGATATGGACCCAAAGAAGGGTTTTTAAAAAAACAAATGATAGTTGTGTCAAATACTTGCCATTTGACACACATATTGTGGACTAATTTTATTAAGTTAGCAAGTAAACAGGTATATTGACCCATGAGAAATTCCTAGAACACTGCATACTGGAACATGTCACTGAGGAGCACATTTATCCTACATACCTCTGGGTAAGCAGTCCTAAATTCACCTTACTCATATCAATAATCCCACTGAATGGAATGGAAATATTTGTGTCTAAGTGCTTGCAGGGCCAGGCCATGAGACAGTAGTAAAGTATCATAAATATACATGGCACTTCACTGTACCAATAAAGATAAAGTCACTGCTCCATCAGAGCTTACAATCAATCTAAATTAAGGCAAGAAACAGGAGCAGACATCTCCAGAGGGAGGGAGAGAAAAGGGAAAGATGAACAAGAGAGCAACATGACAGAGGTCTCTGGAAGAGACTAATGCAAAAGTTTGAAGGTCAGTTAAAAAAATCAGGAAAACGGTGAAGAATTTTAGTGTGTTCAGTTTGCAAGAAATGGGTTTGGAGAGGGATTTCCGGTTGAGGGATGAAGTATGGTCGATGCAGTCAGCATGAGAGAAGCCAGGAGGTGAGTGTGGGAAACAAAGTTCAGGGGGCAACTGCATGGACAACTTGGCATGTGCAAAGAGGAGAATGTGACTGGCAGTAGGGTGGGAAGAGTGGAATGTTACAAAGGAGCTTGAGGGAAAGAACAAGTTCTGGAGTCAATTGAAAAGGCAATGTAAAACTAGTGAAGGTGCTGCAAAAGTGGATGAAGGTGATCAACATCAAGTTACATGATTTTTGGCAACAAAGCTTCAAGTGGATTGGAGAAGGGTGGAGTAAGTGTCAGGCAGCAGTGAAGGAGATTGCTGTATTCAAAGTGTAAATAGCTGTGATAAATATATTGCATTTGCTACATACATTATTGCATTATGTAAAGTGTTCACAATAGAGCCAAATTCTTCAGAAACGTTTCAAAATAATTAAAGTAATTCTCATTCCTCAGGATGGTAATAGATACGGGAAGCACATGTTCTCAAGTAGCCGTGGTAAACTAGCAGTCTTTCCGCTATTACTCTGAAACAGAAACAGTACATTAAAAAAAACTTAAAATTAAATGTTAAAACAATCTCAATACATACGTTTCTTAACTACTTTGTGTTTTTTTCATTCACTCCATTACTACTTGAAAAATGAAGTAAGTAGTGCAAGATCTAAAATGACAGCACGAGTCGGCTTTCTGTCCCATGCTTCAATAGCTGGACTATATTTCTTGCAACTAATGTGAGAGCCTTTTTTACACACACATTACACGGCGTGATATAGGCTGGGATTTTTGAAAGCGTGCAAGGTTGCCCAACTGCCATTGCCTTTCAATGAGAATTGGGCATTGAACTTCCTCCTTTGAGACCCCCACACCAAAGGAACTAAAAATCACTGAAATGAGGCTTTACAGACAGGTTGGGAAAAGGTAAGAAGAGGGTCTAGAGCTTTGAATAAACTATCTCCTAACTGACCAAAACATTTTCAGAGTCTGGTTTGAATTTCCTTCCTGATAAAGTACTTCTACAGTCTTTTTACAACACAGTACTTTTTACAGTGCTTACATTCAGCAATAAGAAAGAAAAATCACCTGACCCTGGGACTTCAGTCAAACTTTAAGGCAATAGGATTTTTAGCTGGTATGTATACATTGTCATTTTGAAAACAGGGGATAGTCATCTCATGAGTTCCAATAGGCCACAATATAATGAGGGGAAGGAGGGAGGAAAGTCAGTTCTCAGGGTCTTTTATAAAAACCTGATCATAACAGACAATTTCCATAAGCTTTATCCCACACCTATGTACATATGAAGCAATATTGTTCCTGCACATTACATTAAGGATTTAACACTCTTTTACAAGCATCTGAAAGAAGGGCCTATACTAATGAAGTCTTATATAATATATAATAATAATATAATTATAATATATATAAAATATAATAATAATATAATTATAATATATATATAATGAAGTCTTCATTACTGAGACCTCTTGTAACCAGTTTTCAAAACTTATTGTTCTTTGTCTGGGACCGTGGCTGGAACTGTAGTGTGAGAAGCTGGAGAGATAGGGCAGGCTGGTGGAGCACAGTGATCTTTTCAAGTATCAGGGGGTAGCCGTGTTAGTCTGTACCCACAAAACCAACATGGAGTCCAGTGTACCTTAAAGACTAACAGATTTATTTGAGCATAAGCTTTCGTGGGTGAAAACCCCATTTATGCTCAAATAAATGTTAGTGATATTTTCACAACTCTTTCTGCATCTACTCCATCTAGTACTAAATAAATCTCTCTCAGAATGTACGCATAAATTAAAGTAAGAGTACAACAATGTTATAAACACTGATTGTTGATATTTTAGAACATTACCAGTACCTCTATGTGCATGAATATATTAACTGCCAAGTCTCATTATCTTTCCATAAATACTTCTTTCATTTTAAAGAACTGTGAGTACTTATTCTCTTTCTAGAGATAAATTCTATTATATATGGCACTTACAAGTTAGTGTGAGAGAAGCTGGATCAAGCCTTATCTTAGTACATTCAGGTGCTTCCTGATCATAAGTATCTTCCTGATCATAAATATTTTGTCGCAAGACATTCATCACAAACTCTTCACTCATCGTGTACTTCATGAACTCGTCAGCCACTGGTGGTAAGGAGAACACCAGCTGGTAGAATGCAGTGGCATTTTCATGTCTGAAAAAGAAACAGACCTCAGGAGGAATAAGCACTGAAAGCTTTTAGAATTGCCTTTCCTTTCAACATGAGCATTTATTTTGAAAAAACATGACCTAAGGAGAAAACATTAAAAACAACGGCATACTTAAACTAACATGTTGTCCGCCTTCGCCCCGCAAGAGCAATTACTGTTGATGCTAATGGGATTTGTACATATAATCCAGATATAGCACGGGGAAGACTTTCAAAGAGTACAAAAACGCACTGAGAAGTCAAAAATCTCCCCCATATGGACATTATTGTGAGCAATCCAAATATGGTAACACCAGGAGACCTGGTGCAACAGGACACCTTTATTTTACATAATAGCTCACAGAAGTGACTGCTTTCCTGATAACATTTTCCATTCTTCCCTCTAACAATATCTGATAACAAGCCAATGTTTCTAATTCAAATTCTGGAGTATATTATGTAAACCACTGAATTGAAGTCCAATTCTGGAGTGATTTGTGAATTCATTGAACTGGAATCACAACATTATATTTGATAGATACAGATTGCTTTTTTTTCCTGGTATCTTTTATCCCAAAGGATCACAAGATATAGCATGCAGAGCAAATTGCCTCAGCACATGCCTATCTCTGCGGTATTCTACCATAACCATCCTCACCCAGTGTGACCCTAAGAAAGCATCACACCAAGATCACTAATGACCACTCCCTAGGTGAATCTGAGGGGGTTTGTCTCTGTCCCCTGGCTTTCAGCTCTGTGCTGCCTTTCATGCTCTTCATCATAGTCTTTGCAAATCTATGTTCTCCTAGTTTCTCCCTATTTTTTTTAGCCTTTTATGTCATTTTATGTCTTCTGTGGGCATCTCCTGTACCAGGTCTCCTTTGCTTCTCCCCTCCTACCCCCTCTCAGTAAGTGATTCCATAAGTTTCCACAATTTCCACTGCCATCTGTACGTGGACAATTCTATAATCTACCTCTCAATCCCCTCTCTAACCTCCTCTTCTGTGTTAAAACACTGCCCTCAAATTCAGTCTAAGCCCTTAACCTCCCTCCAGTGCCATACTGATGCTGACAACTCCATTGTCTTCCCCTGTCTCCCATGATTGCAGCTTTCTCCTGCCTTTCCAGAAAGTCCTGTTACTTCTTACTCTGTATCACCACCACAATCTGTCCCATCCCTTCCTTTCAACCTTGTTGCTAAATTTCTCTCCATAGCTCAGCCACCCATTACCTTTATTACTGTGACCTGAACCTCCAGCAAACCCTCCTCTCATTTCAACCTCTCCAATCTATCCAAAATACTGCTACTTTACTCATCATCTGCTCCTGCTACTCTGAGCAAGCCATGTAGAAAATGGAAATCAAGTGTGATTTTCTTGTTGCTTGTGTGTGTCTGTGCTGTCTTTAAGTTCTTTAGAGCACATACCTCTCATTTACAGAAACACCTACCATGCTTTTGGGCACTGTGATTGGATTTTAAAAAAGGTATTTAAGCAATGCTTCGCTCATTGCAACATGTAACTGATTTAGGAGTCTAAATCTCATTTTCAAAAGGGATTTAGGGGCCAAAATCCCATTCCCTAAAATCCTAAGTACCTAAATTGCTTCAGAAAATGAGATTTAGACTCCTAAATCAGTTAGGTTTCAGAGTAACAGCCGAGTAAGTCTGTATTCGCAAAAAGAAAAGGAGTACTTGTGGCACCTTAGAGACTAACCAATTTATTTGAGCATAAGCTTTCGTGAGCTACAGCTCACTTCATCGGATGCATACTGTGGAAAGTGTAGAAGATCTTTTATACACACAAAGCATGAAAAAATACCTCCCCCCACCTCACTCTCCTGCTGGTAATAGCTTATCTAAAGTGACCACTCTCCTCACAATGTGCATGACAGTCAAGTTGGGCCATCTCCAGCACAAATCCAGGTTTTCTCATCCCCCTCCCCCCCCCCTTCCTCAGACGCTTTTGTTAAACCCTGGATTTGTGCTGGAAATGGCCCACCTCGACTATCATACACATTGCAAGGAGAGTGGTCACTCTAGATAAGCTAAAAGAAAAGGAGTACTTGTGGCACCTTAGAGACTAACCAATTTATTTGAGCATGAGCTTTCGTGAGCTACAGCTCACTTCATCGGATGCATACCGTGGAAACTGCAGCAGACATTATATACACACAGAGATCATGAAACAATACCTCCTCCCACCCCACTGTCCTGCTGGTAATAGCTTATCTAAAGTGATCATCAAGTTGGGCCATTTCCAGCACAAATCCAGGTTTTCTCACCCTCCGCCCCCTCACACACAAACTCACTCTCCTGCTGGTAATAGCCCATCCAAAGTGACAACTCTCTTCACAATGTGTATGATAATCAAGTTGGGCCATTTCCTACACAAATCCAGGTTCTCTCACTCCCTCACCCCCCTCCAAAAACCACACACACAAACTCACTCTCCTGCTGGTAATAGTTTATCCAAAGTGACCATTCTCCCCACAATGTGCATGATAATCAAGGTGGGCCATTTCCAGCACAAATCCAGGTTTTCTCACCCCACCCCCCACCCCCATACACACACAGACTCACTCTCCTGCTGGTAATAGCTTATCAAATCAGTTAGGTGTTTCAACACTGAGCACAGCAATACCTAAATACCTTTGCAATATCTGGGCCTAATAATGTATATTAAAGCAAAGTTGCTCTGAAGCAATTCCAGTTTTCTCACTTCAACAAGTGTGATAAAGCTGGCAGTTGAGACCACCAAGGACTGAGCATATGGACAATACTTAAAGATATCCTATAACTTAATAACATGTTCTATTGGTAGGCAACTTATCCTTTACAAATGTAATTGGTTAATTTTGGTGGAATCATAACTTCACTGATTGTACTGATATTTCTCCTGAGAAATATTATTTCAGAGTTTTAGAATGTTTTGTATGTCTGTGTGACAGATTCAATTCTGCTAAACAAACACTTAAAGAAAATTCTGACATTAATTTCCTACCTGAAGGAATCCACTTGAGCAGTGATAAAATAGCGCCCCAGGGCTGGAGATGAACTGTAGACATCTATTAGCTTGAAAAGAGAATCAAATATTTCTTTCATGGCATACCTTCCAACACAAGTAGAAGAAAATAGAGTAATTTAAGTTTTCAGAATGAGGGAGTGTATGGAACCTTGAGGTCAAGTCCTGGCAGATATCTGTACAAGGAACTCATTTTATTTTAAAATCTAATGGTAAAAATCAGTTTCTGCTCTCATTTGGGAGTTCAATTTCAGTTTATTTTCTCTGTGCCAACTAAATTTTTTTTTTAAAAAAAAATACATACAATACTTTTCTGTTTATCTGGAAAAATCACTCGGGATTGATGTTAGAGTGGGGACTTCAACAATCTCTACTTATCCTTTGCATTGACTGAACTAAAAACCAGGATAGGAAAGTAGGTGATGCTGCTCCCTTGATAGTAATAAGCAATGTCAGACCGGCCAGGCAAAACTGATCCTAGCTTCTCAAGCCTTCTAGGATTTACAATACTCGAAGGAGCAAGCCTGAGGTTGTGTTATATCGACACTTAATAGAACTGTGTAGCAAATTTGTAAAGTAAAAATACAGCAAACAGCTTAGCTAAGCTAAGGGAAAGTTCATGGTTCGGGATGTAAACCAGCCAGTCTACAGTTTAAAAAAAATAAAAATAAAAGTTTTTTTACAGCTGCTTTAATTTCCCTGCTAAACTAAGTCAGTTTTTTAACCAGTATGGCTTCTTCCTCAATCTTAGGATTGTGGGATTTTGAGCACATAGTAAAGTGTTCTTAAACAATTCCCAACTATCACTTCCATTTTTCTGAATCAATTCTTCCTCCCAGAGATAAAATTGAGAACCCTTTGACCCAAGAAAATAGCATGGATGAAAGTTTAATGTCAGCAAACACAAAGGAAACACCAAATAGGTGTTATGGTCAGAATCAGCTATGGTGAAAGCTCTGTCATAATTACCCTCCTAGTAAGATCTTCAGAATAATTTGATTGAGCAGCACACTTTACTTGTAGTGTTCCAGAAAAATTGCGGTAATTTCCACTTGATACTGATTCAGGATCCCAATATTCATCTTCATCGATGTAAACCTCTGTAATACCAAAAAATGAAAGAGTGTGTTCCCAATTGGCTGCTACAGATAGAAAAAGTTTGGTATCATCCAACAATGGCAGCTCTCAAAGCATGGTCAACAGAACACTGCCGGGGGAGGGGGGCGTCAAACTGACACTGTCAGAGTGGAGATGTATTTGTTAGTGCTCAGATAAAATACTTCCTGCCATATGTAGCCCAGACCTATTTCCAGGGACATTTTGACTGGCTGAACTCAAAGGAACTTGTGCCTGGAAGCAGCCCCTATGACTGCTTTGTCAGGTGTTTCTTAAATGTAAATTTAGCCACAGTGAAAACTGGAGGGTTACAGGCTGACAGGCACAACACATAAGTTATTCGAAGAAATTCGAGCAGTTGCGGGTGCAGGCACTGCTCTGACTCATATTAGGAAGACTGACCCCCAGGCAAAGCTAATGAATTGCACCCATACAAAATATCAGGATAACACCAATCTGGCTGCATTCATTGCATTGACACAAATATGATTTTCATCTTGTCTCTTTGACCTTGTCCTAGTATTATTTTCTCATGTAACCATGCTCTGCAATTGCCATAGAGAAGATATGGGATCAGACTGGGGAGCTGGCCGTCACAGGATTTTAGCTTAAGAAAAGGCCCAGAGTATAACAGTTTGAGAACCTTTTGTCTAGACTTAGTTATTATATTAACAACCTTGGCATACCCCTATTCAAATCAACGGGCATGTTGCCATTGGATTCAAGCAGCAATTATCTTGAAGGCAAGCTACCAAGCAAATATAGTTTAACAGAAAAAAGAGTAATAGATTTAAATGTACAAGCATCAGCCCCTTAAGATCTCTAGGTGCCTTAACTGAAAATCAGTACTAGTTACAACATGGCAAGAAGAAAATTCCTCAAATACACCGAATACCCAACTGCTCAACTCAGCACATATTATAAACTACCTCCATGACAAAACTCAACAGCCAAACTCCAGACAGGCTGCAGCATGCATCTAAAAGAAAACCACAGGTCATTTAGTTTGTGAGACACAAATTATCAAAAGTAAAGTACATACCTGAATAAAGAATTAAGCTGATAATAATCACTAGAAGCAGCCCTAGGAAAACTGAAGATATAACCATCCACAGTTTACATTTCCAAAAAATTGTGTCACCACAAGACCTCCGGTAGTAGGCTCTCCCCTAATCATACAAAGAATAAAAGAAGTTGTCTGTTAAGAAACTAGGATGGAAAAGGGGAGGGGGGGGGGGAAGAGAGAAAAAAGAGCTTTTCTTTATCTTTAGGATAAAGAATATAAAAAAAATCTATATAGAGACAGGAGATAATATATTGCATTTTTACTGTGCTTTTAATTCAAGGATATGAAAATATTTTCAGAAGCATTAGGATCATGTATCACTTTAAGGCCTGGTCTACACTGGGGGTGGGGACCGATCTAAGATATGCAACTTCAGGTACGAGAATAGCGTAGCTGAAGTCGACGTATCTTAGATCAACTTGGAATCACTTACTTCGCATCCTCGCAGCACAGGATCGACGGCCACTGCTCCCCCGTCAACTCCGCTTCCGCCTCTTGCAGTGGTGGAGTTCCGGAGTCGACGGCAGAGCGATCGGGGATCGATTTATCGCATCTACACTAGATGAGATAAATTGATCCCCAATAGATCGATCACTACCCGCCAATCCGGCGGGTAGTGTAGACGTGGCCTAAGTAAACCAGCATTAGTTATAATTAATATCAGTCGGTAAATTGACTTGCCTAAGGTTACAAAGTGCTAGAGCTAGGAGTAAAACCTTGTCTACTTTTGAATCAATCTGCTCTGATAAGTGAAGACTGTAGAAATGATGCAATTTTAACTCAATGATGAAACCAAGTGGTTGTGTATAATCTAGTTGACTATCAACTGAGTTTTTCCTTGGAGATTTGCGTCTATATTATTTGCAAGGGCTTGATTCTAGGCACAGTTGCATCTCTTCAGTTTAAGGTATAATTTTAAACTGATTCTGCTAAACTGCTGCAAAAAAAAGTGTGAACACACTTATTGATTTCAATCAATCAGACTTACTTTCACTAAACTTAAATCAATTAGGAATAGGTTTAAAATAAACCAAAACAAGCCACATCTTAAACCAAAGTCTCTACACACACGGGATTTTCACCAGTTTAACTAACCCACTTTAATTAACCTGTTACAAATTTCATATTTAGACAAGAGCCAAGTTTCTTGAAACAGTGCAAAAAGGCTTAAGTATCTAGAGTCTCATGAGTGGTTCTCAGAAGCCAACATGGAGCTTAGATCTTGCAGACCTTGTAACCTGCATAATGGAGCTTACAAGGTCTGCAGGATGGGTCTCTGTTCTTAGTGAGAAGAACTGGAAAAATATACTATTTATGAATATTATGTGTGATTCCATTTCCCTGTTCAGTTGCATATTGGTGCCTGACTGAATGCCCAGAGCTCAGGCAAAGGAGGCTGTCACGGGGCTGCTACAGAACTCACTAAGAAAGGGAAAAGAATGACATCTAAGAGAGCAGCAGAATACGAACCCTGGACTTCAGAAAAGCAGACTCTGACTCCCTCAGGGAACTGATGGGCAGGATCTCCTGGGAGGCTAATATGAGCGGGAAAGGAGTCCAGGAGAGTTGGTTGTATTTTAAAGAAGCCTTATTGAGAGTGCAAGAATGAACCATCCACATGTGCAGAAAGAATAGCAAATATGGCAGGCGACCAGCTTGGCTTAACAGAGAAATCTTTGGTGAGCTTAAACACAAAAAGGAAGCTTACAAGAAGTGGAAATCTGGACAGATAACTAGGGAGGAGTATATAAATATTGCTCGAGCATGCAACAGTGTCATCAGGAAGGCCAAAGTACAACTGTAGTTGCAGCTAGCAAGGGATGTGAAGAGTAACAAGGAGGGTTTCTACAGATATGTTAGCAACAAGACAACGGTCAAAGAAAGCGTGGGAACCTTACGGAAAGGGGGAGGCAACCTAGTGACAGATGATGTGGAAAAAGCTGAAGTACTCGATTCTTTTTTTGCCTCTGTCTTCACAGACAAGGTCAGCTCCCAGATGGCTGCACTGGGCAGCACAGTATGGGGAGGAGGCGAACAGCCTTCAGTGGTAAAAGAACAGGTTAAGGATTATTTAGAAAAGCTGGAAATGCACAAGTCCATAGGCCTGGATCTAATGCATCTGAGGGTACTGAGGGAGTTGGCTGATGTGATTGCAGAGACTTTGGCCATTATCTTTGAAAACTTGTGGAGACTGGGGGAGGTCCCAGACGATTGGAAAAAGGAAACTATAGTGCCCATCTTTAAAAAAGGGAAGAAGGAGAATCTGGGGAACTACAGACCAGTCAGCCTCACCTCAGCCCCTGGAAAAATCATGGAGCAGGTCCTCAGGGAACCATTTTGAAGCACTTGGAGGAGAGGAAGGTGTACAGGAACAGTCAACATGGATTCACCAAGGGCAAATCATGCCTGACCAACCTGATTGTTTTCTGAGATAACTGGCTCTGTGGATATGGGGAAAGCGGTGGACATGATATATCTTGACTTTACTAAAGCTTTTGATATGGTCTCCCACAGCATTCTTGCCAACAAGTTAAAAAAGTATGGGTTGGATGAATAGACTATAAGGTGGATAGAAAGCTGGATAGATTGTGGGGCTCAATGGGTAGCGATCAATGTCTCGATGTCTAGTTGGCAGCCAGTATCAGCGCACTGCCCCAGGGGTCAGTTTTGTTCAACATCTTCATTAATGATCTGGTAGATGGGATGGATTGTACCCTCAGCAAGTTCGCGGATGACACTAAGCTGGGGGGAGAGGTAGATATGCTGGAGGGTAGGGATAGGGTCCAGAGTGACCTAGATAAATTGAAGGATTGGGCCAAAAGAAATCTGATGAGGTTCAACAAGGACAAGTGCAGAGTCCTGCACTTAGCATGGAAGAATCACTTAGGCTGGTGACTGACTGGCTAAGCGGCAGTCCTACATAAAAGGACCTTGGGATTACAGTGGATGAGAAGCTACATATGAGTCAACAATGTGCCCTTGTTGCCAAGAAGGCTAATGGTATATGGGGCTGCATTAGTAGGAGCATTGCCAGCAGATCAAGGGAAGTGATTATTTCCCTCTATTTGGCACTGGTGAGGCCACATCTGGAGTAGTGTGTCCACTTTTGGGCTCCACACTACAAGAAGGATATGGAAAAATTGGAAAGAGTCCAACGGAGGGCAACAAAAATTATTAGGGTGCTGGGGCACATCACTTACGAGGAGAGGCAGAGGGAACTGGGCTTATTTAGTCTGCAGAAGAGAAGAGTGAGGGTGGGATTTGATAGCAGCCTTCAACTATCTGAAGAGGGGTTCCAAAGAGGATGGAGCTTGGCTGTTCTTGGTGGTGGCGGATGACAGAACAAGAAACAATGGTCTCAAGTTGCAGCAGGGGAGGTCTAGGTTGGATATTAGGAAACACTGTTTCACTAGGAGGGTGGTGAAGCACTGGAATGGGTTACCTAGGGAGGTGGTGGAATCTCCATCCTTAGAGGTTTTTAAGGCCCGGCTTGACAAAACTCTGGCTGGGATGATTTAGTTGGTGTTGGTCCTGCTTTGAGCAGGGGGTTGGACCAGATGACCTCCTGAGGTTTCTTCCAATCCTAATCTTCTACGATTCTAAGACCGCCCCTCAGGTACCCAGCTTTAAACAAGTTAAGATAATAATGGATGGGCCATCAATTGAACGGAGAAGTTACTTAGCTGGCTCCATCCAGACCAAAATGTTTTACTCCTCCCAAGGCAAAGTCTAGACTCAAAGAGGAGTCAAACAGCTCATGGACTACATAGAAGGGGTGGGCCGAGAAAACAGCCAGGATATCTGAAGACTTGAATACTGCGTGCGGTTCTGCGTGCCCCATCTCAAAAAAGGAACATTAGAATTGGACAAAGGATGGAGATAGGCAGCAGAAATGTGTAGGGATATGGAACAGCTTCTGTATGTGGGGAGATTCAGAAAAAAAGATTGGGATATGATAAAGGCCTATAAAATGGTGACTGGTGGGGAGAAAGTAAAGAAGGAAGTTTTATTTACATAAACCCAACACACAAGAACCAGAGGTCACCCTATGAAATTCATGCACAGCAGGTTTAAAACAAACAGAAGGGAGTACTTCTTGACACAATGCACAGTCCACCTGTGGAACTCACTGCTGGGCAATGCTGTGAAGGCAAAAAATATAACCGGAATCAAAAAAGAGTTAAAGTTCTGCAGGATAGGTCCATAAATGGGGATGCAACCCCATGTGCTGGGTTTCCCTAAGCCTCTGACTGCCAGAAACTAGGCCTGGATGATGGATCTCTCACTAATTGCCCTGTGCTGTTCATTCCCTCTCAACCATTGGTCTGACCCAGTATGGCCATTCTTAGACTCTTATGTGTGAGTGAAAAACCTGGCAGCCTGGACAGACACATACACAGACAGAAGGAGAAGGATGCAAGCAGTCAGCTGGTTCTCCCAGCTCAGAGGTGGGAAATGAGCCCTGACTAAGCTGAGGATAAAGAGGCTAAGCGTAGGTGAGGGAATAGGTGTGCACATCTCTTGTTTTGACTCCAGCTCTCTAAGTGCTGCATATCTTCTGAGCAAAATAAATTATGCCTTTTGTGCAAGACGTCGTTTCTGTAGCACTGCCAATGCATTCTGTGTCAGGCTCCCAAGGAAAACTGGCAGGTCAGGTTTTCCCCCAGGTCAGATTGGCAGTGACCTTCAGATTTTTACACCTTCCTCTGAAGTGCATGGGTGAGAGTTAGTCATCAGGATTATCTAGCTAAATCTCATTTAATCATTTCCCTGCCACTGCAGGGGCGGTAGGCACTTGTGCACATTGGTCCCTCCTATTCTCTGCCTCTGGCACATAATAGTCTATTCTTCTGTGGGCTGACACACATTGGTCTAGTTTTGATGGCTGGATTTAATGCAGAGGTCCTGGGTGGTGTTTATGGGCTGGTTGGTGTTGGTGAAATACAGGATGCCAGACTAGATGATCTGGTGGTCCCTTCTGGCCTTAAACTCTATGACTGTGACCTGCTGAATTAGTTATGGGCTATAACCTAAAGACTCAGCGAGAAATACACAAAGAGAGGTAGAGGGATAGGCCTATTCCTTGAAAGGAGTTCAATCTGGTGACTGGAAAAGGGTCTCAGCAGGGGCAGACTACCCAGGAACTTGTGACACTTAGTAAGGAACAGGCTGCCCCTTCAGACCTTGCAAGCTACCTGTGTATAATAGTACCTGGGTAACAGAACATCTTCCTAATGGTACACAGTTCTTCAAGGGGATTAAATTTATGTATGGAGTTTTATTCAGTGGAACTTCTGAACCCAAAACTGTCAGGCTGCACTTACAGACTTCCTATTCTCGAATCAAAACTAAAACATTATACTGTAATACCCAGCGTCATTTCAAAGTTTCTTGGACCAGACCACTTGGTTTATGAAGTTTATAGATTCCTCCGGGTGTTAAAGTATTCATGGAGAACTTTACAAAAACATCCACACCTATGAAGTTTATAATATCAGTCCACATAGCCCTTATATACAAACTGTCATAGCAAATAGCAGAAAGAAGTTTTGAGGGGGTTGTTTTTTGGATTGTGGGGTGAAGTAGAAATCATTTACATTGTTAACTAGGGCATTGCTAATGTTAAGGTGTTGATGTCTACATTAAAAAAATGAAGAAAATATGGAGAGACAGACAAGAACCATTTGATTATTGTACATTTAGGTTTTCACTTTTGGGGGCAGGTTGCAGGAGGTTGGCAAAGGAGACAGTGAGTAAGGCACATGTGTAGGATGTACTGTTTTTGTTCGGATATTTAAACACATGAGGTTTATAGTAAAATTAATAGGAATGTTGTGTTTAAAAAAAAGAAACAGGGATTTTCTAGCTTTTAATTTAACGCTTGACGCTAGTGTATCACGTTATTTCTCACAACACTTCTGTGTAATCAGAAGGAACAATACCCATTTTATGGGTAAGGAAACCGAGGCAGACACTTCCCAAGGCTACAGACATGAAGGCACGGATTTCAGCTCAGGTTCCCAGCCTTGTGCTCAGACCATTACAGAATGCTGCCTATAGTAAAGAAGTTTTAACTGACTTGATGTAAAGTACACATTCAAATCCTGGATTCCTCCCTAGAACTGAACAAACACCCTCTTTACTTAGATAAGAAAAATCAATATGTCAGAGAGCTCGGGGGAAAGGTAGCGCCTGAAAACAATGAATAGTTTCACAGACGTGTTGGGCAGTGCTGTAGGGTTGATTACTGTGCAACAGGAGTGAGGCAGAAGAAGAAACCGGGAGTAACCGTGTTCAAGATCATTTTCAATCACGCTTTAGATCTCGTCGATAGCTCAACGCCTGATTTGCCAGTGCAGACAGACACACACTTCTAAACAAAAACTAACCACAAGAGTCTGGTGGGTAAATCCCTAGACTGGGTTTTAGGAAACTGGATTAAATTTTTGGCTCTGCCACAGACTTCCTTTGTGGTCTTGGGCAAACCACTGAATGTGACTGCGTCTGAATTCTCCATCTGCAGAATGGTGATACTACTTCTTTTCATGTATTTGACTAAGCTCTTTGGGGCAGGAGTCATCTTACTATGTGTACATGTAACATGCTCATCGTACAAATTAATAATCGTTCGCACTCACAAGTTACAAGCATTGTTATTAACAATCCTACTCTCGTTTTAGCAAAGTTAAAGAAGTTTACACTAGCTGACAATATCCCTCTGCTGGTGATGTTAATGATCTAGAATACAGAATTTATATCTGCCGTTGCTTCCTTTGATCACACTACACACTTACTTATATATTAAAGGAGAAGTGCTAAATAGTTTTGGCCCAAAGGTTAGATTGTGGAAAGGAAGAAACTTTTTTAAACGGAAACAAATCCTAATATTAGTAGTAGTGTTTTCCTGGCATTTTAATTCTTTTCCAAATGAAAAGCTTTTAAATTTGCATTTTAACATCTCCCTTTAGTGACTGCAATTCATCCATTGCAATACTAATATCATGACAAACTGAAAGCGAAACTTGTAAAATTACAAGTGTGATTAGCATTTCACTCCAAAAAATGAAATGAACAAACAGCATTAAAAATGGTAAATGAGTTAGATTTTAAATATCCTGTTTCAGTCAGATTTCATTAACAGCAGAGGAAAAGAAATCTGCTTTTAACCTTAGTATTTCTGACATTTAACTATAAGTCAACAACAACAAAAAAGATGTAAAATAAATTTTACAATAAAGCAACTTATTCCACCAGAATGCTCCTCAGTTATTTCAATCACTGTACAATGTTTAGGTAACATGCTTATAAGTAGAAAGTGAATGAATGTGAGTCCTACCTTATTTGTGATAGATGCTTCAGGATTAAGAGGTCTATTATGGTCCGCCTCATTTTCCTCCTCAAGTTCTCTCCCCCCCCGTAATTCAATAGCCTGACATTCATGTTCAGGAACACAACCATTCATCGCTTCCACTTCTGTGAGGAATTTTGACTTTATGGCAAATACCAACAAGATACACTTCCTTCCTGTTTATGCTGCAATAATGTTGGTGTCTGTTCAGGGACAAGATCTGATATGTCAGCAGCCAGGGTCAGCATAATTTACAAGCAAGTGATCTCAGTAAGTTGGGTAAACAAGGGAAATTCCATGGAGCAAGGAGTGGACTGGGACTGTATCCTCTGAAAAAGAAATGGAATGAGGCGGAAGTATTGATTTGCCTGTACTTTTGAAACACAAATGTTCATTCTCAAGTTGTGTCATACTAGATTTTCCAGTTTGGTTACCTTACCACACCAGCCCTTAGCCAGCATAAGCAGCTAAGTGAACCTGAGGCAACATGGTGCTTGCTAAAACAACAAAGTCAGCAGATGAAGCAATCTATCTTCGTTTCGGAAGAGAAGACTGTGTTTTCCGACAGGGCAAGCAAGCAAGCAAGCAAGCCAGCCCCCTGTCACATTCTGAATACCACTATACCTTTACAATACAAAGGAACTAAAGCAAGCTTATATTTATACAGCACTTTTCCCAAAGAAAAGAAACCAAATGGGTCAGTAGACAAAGTAGGTCTGAACTGTCAAGTTCAGTTCTGAACTACCCTAAAACTCTGGCACCTGCGTTCATGCCTTTGTTTCATGTAGTGATCGCCTGACCCAGAGGCTCCTGGAGAGGTCTCAGAATATTCCTGACGGATATGAGCTCCTTTTGCTCTTAAGCCAGCAGTTCCTAGAAAAGTAGGAAAACTCAGCAATACACTTTCAGATGTTAAGATCTGCAATCATGAACCTGGTGTAAGCTTTGTGAAAATGTCATTCCTATTTCACTTACCTGTCAAGGCCAACATTAGTTCATTCACAACTAATAAGTTAGACCTGCACACTAACTCCTGAAATATGCATCCAGATGCGTACTTCGTGGTTTACCTCTCGCATACACACACACTTATATGTAATGGGCTGAACTAAAACCCAGGTTTTGAGACCCCACCTTCCTAGTGTAAGGGACTTTGAGAACTGGATCTGAACTTTGTGGCCAAGGCTCACGTCTTATCTAAAACTGTAGGAATGCAACATCATTCTCTGGTGATGATATTCAGAGTCTTATCAATATAAAACAAACTCAAACCTTGGCAGGTTAAGCGCGTCTCAGTTCAACTTTATTTAAATAATCAGGAAACTTCAGTTGATTTTAACTCATCTGCAGCTTAAAAGCTGCGACTGCAATTCTAAGCATACTAATAATTCAGGGTGAATTACTTTATTTCAGAAATGCAATAAAGCTAATAAATACTTAGTCTCCACATTTTATTTAAAAGGAGGAAGTGAATGACGATTCAAGAAAAACCTGTACATTAATAAAATACTTTTAGAATTTTAATGTCTTTTGAGTTTAGAATAGACAATGCTTTTACATTCAATTAAAAAACCTGGAGAAAGTAACACACATTTTAATGAGAGAATTATATTAAAAAAATGAATCTTAAATACATGAATTATGTAACATGCAGACAACAATAAAATTCATTCCTGTACCTAAGTGTAATTTACAGAACGCCTTCCCCGATGTACTGTACAATGAGTCAGACTACGAAAGTGAGCTAAAAATAAGTGAGGGTAGTATTGCCAACCTCAAGAGAGATTACAAATCATGAGTTAGACTCAAAGTATGAGGGTTAAAAATAAAAGAGAAAAGATTACATAGTGGTTTCAGTCTTGATTTTTGAATGCTCTCCCATCCCCACCCCCAAGAGAGAGAGCCACAATTACCGGGGCCCACTCTCCCAAATTTATTAGATAAGTAGATTTTGGCTGTTGCTGCAGGAGCGCTCATCCCCACACCAGCCAACCCCCTGCCCAGCAATTCATTCTGCCCCTAGCCTCTGAATCACTCCTGTCCCCTCAATCCCGGTATCACTTCAGTCCCTGGTAGCCCCCGCCCCTAAATCCCACATCAGAGCAACCCGGCCTCCCCTCTTCTCCTCCGGGGTTCTTCATCCCCGTCTCCCAGGTGTGGGGGGGCTCCAAAGGGGTCCTATTTCCCACTTTCAGGCTGGAGGGACAGATCCAGGGTTCTTCAGTTTCCCCAGCCCCGCTGCTCCTTTCCATCCCCCAAGGCCAGGTGCTGCAGAGGGGAGGAGGGAAGAGCAGTGGAGTTGCCCTGAGCTGCTGGGCTCTTTCTGCTACCTCCTCCCCATGCCCCTCTTATGAGGAGGGCTTTGGGTTGCTGCAGAGGGGAGGAGGAGGAGACAGCGCTCTTCCTGTGGCAGCTCTGGTTGGCTGCCTGCCCCATTTGCCCGCCTCTTGAGGAAAAATAACCAAGCAGAGGGCTCAAATACACTAGAGGGCTTGAGTTACTTGCATCATTGTGAGACTAGCTCCAGCCCAGCCAAAATCCCATCACTCATGACAAAGAAAAAACAAATCACAAGAGCTGGCCACACTATGAGGGGCACGTTCATCAAACCATAAGCAAGCTGTGCGTTTGTGAGCATGGCAGGGAGTGGCAGCCATGTCGCCAACTGCCGCCATCATCATGTTACCTCAGGTCTGAAAACCTAAAACTACAAGTTCTAGAAGGGGAGACAATTAAAGCTGTCTAGCGGGGTTAGACATATCTTCCATTCATTTTAATGATACAGGTGCTTTAAATCCCCTAGACAGCTTTGGAAGTCTCAGTCAGGATCTATCTACTGATTCCAAGCAAGGAGAAAAACTTGTGATCAGTCTGCTAAGAAGGAACCCCCTCCCCACTGATCTGTAACCCCCTGGGATGGACATTCAGGCAGGCTCATCCCCTTCTGTGGGCCAGTAGGGAAAAGGGGCAGAAACTATGAGAAACCCTGACCCAGGAAGTAAGCTGGCACTTGGGGAAGTGGGGCAGCAGAGAAGCTGATGTCAGAGGGAAACTGCCAGGTGACTGTGTTCAGAGCAGGCTGCAGCAGGAGCTGGGAAACCACATATGGAACAGTGACTGATGGACATTGCAGCCAGGTTCAGGTACGTGTGGATGCAGCAGAGGCTGGGCCGGGAGCCAGCATAAAGGGTTCTAATGAGCCACACCACTAACTGATCCAGGCCTGGAACTCTGCACAGTCTTATTAGCTTTTAAAAGAAAACTGGACTGGAGAAAGCACCCTGGGCACTAGGCCTGACAAGCTGTTTAGTGGGCCCAAATAAGAACCACTATAGTTTCACTTTGAGCTCTAACTGTTTAAGCCACTATACCTAGGGTGTTTGCAACCTTTCCCTCTCCTGCCAGCCCTAGTAAAATGCCCCTTTCCTTTCTCCAAGTGTCTGGGGGGTTCTTGGGACACACCAGGGCTAGCATGACAAGGCCTAGCAACTGAAGCACTTCATCCCTTACCTGCCAGTTGCAGTATCCCTGACACACTACTAGTACCTTAGAGGCTGGGTGTACTACAGCCCTAAGCAGATAGAATAATTGCAGCCTAACAAGTGCTATAGATCCAGGTGAACCTCAAGCTGTTTTGACTACAAGATAATCATCCAAAAAAGTGTAGATTCCTATTAAAATGTACTCCAATTGTTTTAGTTTGGAATATCCTAAGGTCAAGCTCCTGGCTTTCTTTGTATAGGAGATAATTCAAGATGAGCCTCTTATTGCAGTCTGACACCCACGAAAGAGTTAATTTGAATAAGGCTATTACCATAAGTAGCTAGCAATAGGTTTGTTCTCACAAAGTATAATCAGCTTATGAGACTGTGTTGTGATTATATAGTTTAACATTTGATAGCAGCTAGGGAGCTTGTGTGTGTGAAGTTTTGTTTGTACCAGACTGAAAAAGAATTCTCTCTCCATCTAATAGGTGCAGTTCCCTTTAGATTAACTGAACTGAGCTCCTTTTAATAGCATGTTAAATCCTTTAACAGCATTTTCACCTGTTCTAAAATACCGTCACTCCAAAGACACCAATAATGGTATTTAAGTCCTTGCAAGTTTAGGGCCAGAACTTCAGGTTTAATATGACTGATTTACGCTACACTACTGATGGAATTTGATCACGTTTACATAGGCGCTGGCCTAGGGATACCTGAGGGTGCTGCCACAACCCCTGGCTTGAAGTGGTTTCCATTCTATACAGGGTTTACAGTTTGGTTCAAGAACTCTCAGCACCCCCACTACACAAATTGTTCCAGCGCCCCTGTGTGCTTGTCTTAACCACCCCAGGGAGCATCATGAGAATCATAGAATCTCAGGGTTGGAAGGGACCTCAGGAGGTCACCTAGTCCAACCCCCTGCTCATAGCAGGACCAATCCCCAATTTTTGACCCAGATCCCTAAATGGCCCCCTCAAGGATTTAGCAGGCCAATGCTCAGACCACTGAGCTATCCCTCCCCCCAACATTGGCATAGAGCTTAGTGTTATCTTTGGTCTTGAATGCCAAACACCCTCCCTGCTGCTAACTTAACAAGGAAAGGGAGCGTGGCTACCAAAGCGGGAGAGAGTTTGGGGTGCCCCTACATCACAACAAACCTGAGCTATGTTTTTGGCCTCTTCCAGCTATTAAAAACCGTATTAAGGTAGAACAGTCTGAGACCTCCTCTAAACACAGCACAGGAGGCAGCAGTCCTGCATAGCAGCACCATGAGCAAAGGAGAGCTTTAACCCACCTTTGCACACCACCCTGACTTGCAGTTTGTGTGCTTTGACCAGATGTGAGAATTGGGCCCTTGATCCTGTCTGAAACCCCAATACATTGCATATAGAGAGTACATGTATATATTTATATGTGCTGGGGCTGGAGAGGAGGGGAGAGGAAAGGAATGATCCAAATATCCAATAAGGTTTGGTTAGAATTTGGCCCAAGGTTCCACTCCATTCTTACTTCATTCAGCCCTGTTTGTCTTCATCACCAGAAATGGACAATGAAGATGGAGAAACAATTACTTTCAGTTCAGACTGTTCCTGAAATGTGCAGAGAAGTTAATTACAATTTTTAAATATTTATATTTATATTTATGAACTTCAGCACAAACATCTACAGTGTTTCCTTATGATATCAGAAAAACATATTTCATGGATTACTCCAGTAAAAATAGTGACTTTTGTTTTCTTCTAAGCACATCAGTTTGTGTACTGACGAATCCAGTCATAAAGCTCTGTCACCTTTGTATATACACCAGGGCGGTTACGCCGAGCACATCCTTCACCCCAGCTGAC